CAAAGGCTTTTTTCCTGCTTGCTGAATACTGGATGTGTGTGACAGTGTGAACGATGTAGGCGTAGGAAAAGGCAGTTACTGATAAGGTGCCAGGTAATATTAGAACACTTGTCACCAGCATTACTTTCTCAATGAGGCTGGTGTCTGTGCAGGAGAGCTGGAGCAGTGGTGCTATATCACAGTGGAAGTGGTTGGTGACTTTGGGCCCACAGAATGGCAAATGGAGTATAATTGTGAGTGGGGAGAATGAGAACACCAAGAAGAAACTCACCACCCAGCAGCCCAGCACCAGTTGAAGACAAAACCTATTGTTCATGAAGGTAGCATAATGCAAAGGGCGGCAGATGGCCATGTAGCGGTCAAAGGATATGAGAGCTACATGGAAGAAAGTGCAGATACCCAGGACGAAGAAAAGGGCTAACTGAAGAAAACATCCAGAGAGGGAAATTGTTTTTGCTCCTGTAAGGAGGCTGTAGTGTGTCCTCGGTATGAAGGTATAAGTGAAGCAGATTTCCACGAGGGAGAAATTCCTGAGAAAGAAATACATGGGGATGTGGAGGCGTTGGTCCACCAGTGTGATGGTGATGACAGCGATGTTTCCTAGGAGGATCAGGAAGAAGGCAACAAAGAGAATGGCAAATAGGATGAACTCCAAAAAGCGATTGCTCTCCAAAAAGTGATTGCTAGTGAGTTCCAAGAGAATGAACTCCACTGAAATGAAGAAGTCTCCAACAAACTCTCTAAGACTCAATTTAGAGTTTTAGAAAGCAGGTATTCTTTATTGCAGCACTGGACGCACAGGGGATCGCTCCACCTAGTGTGCGTGCCAAATCATGTAACCATAGGGGTTAAATAAATTAGAGTATACATATTCATTACATTTCCGAGAAATAATCTAAATATTCATGTTATTTCCTGGAATTCATTAACATATGCAAATGTCCCCGACGCATGCGCCCTTGTGCTCTCTGGTGGTCTTTCGGGGTCCTCTGGTGGTCGTCGATAG